CCTCCTTCTGACACGTGTCTTTTAGAACACACTCAAAATTGATCTTAATTAAGAACTGTTTTTAGTTGCTCTTACCATTTTTCAATTAAATTTAATCAAATCAATACTAAGAACATGCTCTAAGAGCTAGCATTGCACATGCTCTTAGGTGGGTTTCTTAGCTCAAAACGAATTAAAAATAATAACCAATCATTAGAAACAATGTTTTCAAAACCGGACTGTGACCGAACCGGAAAACCTATTGAATCATGGGTCAATGTGGTCTGACTGGGTTTAATGATATTTTGAAATTAATCTTACATATTTTTCCTGCATATATGTCAATGACTATGATATCCAAATATCAAACAAAATACTTTAATAAATTTAAAATTTACCAATTTCCATTGTGTAGCAGTAAACACATTCAATCTTAAATAGAGTAGCTTAATTTTAGAATTAACAAAATAAAACTAAATCATAGATAGAATGCTACTGAAGCGATAACAAATTAAGACTAAATCATATATAGATAAAATATAACACGTTCGATCTTCATTTTATAGACGTTTCATATATATAAAAACTCAATTTAATATCACATATATATCATACCATGAATGATATTTTCGTCGTCCTCTAGAATCAAGATATTCCTATAAACTGTGACTAGAATAAGTTAAACGTCAATTGCTCATTAGTTTTATAAAAAGAACAAATAAAAAAACAAATTAATTTCATTAACAAAATAGCAAATTATACGTTTTATAGTTGAACCGGGTTTAATGCGGTTCGGGTTTTTTTGCCAGTTTCCGGTTTATACCGGTTCAATAACCGGTCATGTTAACCCAACCCGGATATGCATTCGGTTCGACCGCCGGTCCGGTCCGATTTTTAAAACATTGGTTAAGAGTTTTAAGAACACAAGGACCCGTGACGTGTCAACGCCTGATTCGTTGATTGTTTTGTAACAAGGAAAAGAAAAAAATTCCTCCGATCTTCGTTCTCTCTCTCTCTGATGGCGAATTCAGTGGAGAAAGATCTACTGATTTGATTACTCTCTCTGTTTTTTTTTTCATCGGTCTCGTATTGGTAACTTGTTGTATATCTCCGGCGAAGAATACGGTGTTTTCACGGTGAAAATTTCTTTGCCGCCGAGGATGATCGATTAAGGTTCTTCTCTTGCTTGAAGATTGTGTGGTAAGATGTTCTTCTTAGGGTTTGATGTGTATAGCAGATTAAGAATCTGTATTACTCATTTACTATTCTAAGTAGAGAAAATTGATGAAATTTAACAACTTTTAGTTTTCTCGAATTTGGGAATTGTGTTTTTTTAGGGTTTGTTAATTAGAGCTGCTGATTATAGAAATGTTCGATTTAGGATTATTGGTAGTACTTAAAATCTGTTACTCTGATCTGAATTTGCAGGTTAACTCAAGAACATACAAAAATGGAGGAAGCTACCATTGATCAATCCCTCAACACCAAGAATGTCTTTACCTCTGCTCTCCGTTTCGCCATGTCCATTGACACACTGAAGAACTCTCCTGAGCTTGTTCATGAACTCAAAACCTCTGCTCAAGAACAAGTGGAATTCATGTTGTCCGAGGACGAAGAGGTACGGTTACTGGTTTCTCAAGAGGAAGTGAGATCATTCGTAAGATTACGCATTTCGAGTGTTATATCGACAGATTATCGTCCTTGCTTGTGATTCTTCCTGAATGTACTGAGTTGATGTTCTCCTGTGGATGGAACTGATGAAAGATCTTGACTTTAAGTGGGCTGATTGATGGATCAAATGAGATTCTTATGGTTGCTCAGAACTGTAAGTTAGATTCTCGGATATTGAGTGTGAAAATGAAGCTAGTTGAGGTTACATGGAAGGTTTTAGAAGCGGTAGGTTATGGAATCGTGATTGTTCCTTCTAGAAGCCGAGCTTGCCTTCTCAAGATATGGTTGCCTTTCATAAGGAGATTGTTACTTTGTTTTCTGGGTTTGGTTAAAACAAACACATGATGGCATCATATGTTTGATTGAACTCGCATGATTGTGGGACAAATTTGTATGTAGAAATCAGTGATGTTTGTGATTAGATTGTTGAAGGATCATGTAGGGATCCTTCAAAGGGGTTTATTTGTTATTCACAAGGCTACACCACATATTTCTTCTGCGTTTCTTCATTCTTGTGGACAACTACTATTGCTTTCCTTTATTATCTGATTATCTTTTGACATTGCACAAAAAAAAAAAAAACAGAGTACTTTGGTGATAATAAATGTTAAAGAATGATCATCTCTCTGTTTTATTTTGAGCTTACAAATATAGTTTGCATTGTTCAATAAAAAGTTGTTTTGGTAGAAATTTTTTATTTTTAAGAACTTCTAATGAGGATTTACCAATGGAGGAGAAAAAATTAGAATCTCTTAATGAGATTCTTAATTTGGGATGATGCAAAATTTATACTAAAAATATTGTTAAAAACCCCATTAGGGGTTGTACCAATGGAGGTGCTATACTCTTCAATCATGTATATATTAGAAGTTCGAACCAACCATGCCTCAACCAATTGAATTCATAGAAAATACATTAATTTTTTTTTTATAGATTACTTTTAAAGTTTCAAATGAACTCATAAAGTTATTTAATCCACATACATAATAGACGTCATGTCGTAGATCAAATAAATTTATAGATTTAAATTACCGAAAATCGATGATATAGCTTATAGTTGATGATGCAAGATTCAACCTCTAATGAGTTTTACAACTATAATAATTTTATACTACGAAAAATTTTCTGCCTAATTAAATAG